GCCTAGTCATGCCGCCCCTCTTTCATTTTTTTTTTTGCATTATATATACAAATTCGCCTGTGTACCTTTTTTGCCTCTTTTTTTTTTTTTATTCGCTTCGAGTATAAACAATTGCTGAAAATGTGTTTTTGCATCGCAATATCATGGTTAAATCAAGCTTTACTTTAAATAATCTCATCAGCTGTCTTCTCTTCGTCGTAGCGCCCCGACACTGCACCTTTCCAAACGCGCGAAATTACACCACTTTGTAATGGGCGAACAGTAATCCTATTTTCTCGTTTCCTTATTGTTTAAGGTTTAGAAATTTTAAAAACTTAAACAATGAATATCTCTGACTAGAGATTGGAAGAAAACGGGAGCCTGAAATCTTCTATGTGCTAGCATAGGCAGTTTGTTTGACACTGTCGGCCTGCCATTGATAGGAATACAGTAGAATTTTGACAGTTACAGAAGACAAACTTGTAGAAAGATAAACTTCAAAATTTTTAGACTTCAAAAGCTCTAAGAAAAATGAGAAGAAACAAGAGTTTGGGGTACCGCTTGATAATAAACTGGCATCGATTGTGCCAAGCAGTGTTTTTATAATTTTTTTGCTGTTCGGAGCATTCGGCTGTTTGCGATAAAATTGAAGGAAGAATTGAATTTACTCTTATTTAAGGAACTAACAAGGTTCATGAAACACGGAAAGCACTAATTCCATCTAAAAACATCGGATTGGTGTCATGGCTGGAACGGAGTCGACTCCAGCGGCCTCAGAAGGTTAGAAATTTTTCGCTGTTTGTAGCAGTGGCTGCTGATTTTTGTTTGGCATGTGGAAATGCAGTGTGAGACACTGCTGTTTGCTTCATTTAATTAAAAAATGAGTTTCTGGTGTCATGTATGGTCGTTGAGTCGGAGGGATTTTGTGCTGTTCTACTGGGATAAGTGATTTTTTAGAAGCACTGACGATAGATAACAGAAGAAGAGGAACACTAGAATCACAGGGAGTGCGATACGTGAGACGAACAATTAGCTAAAGGCGAACAGTTGACATGATATAGTACAGGAATGCAAACACAAGATAAGAATACACGAACCTCGAATCATCTGATAATTTGCATTTTACACAACATATAAACCATTATCATCGAGAATCACTCTCAATATAACTTTTAAAATCACCATAGTGAAAAGATAAATCGATTTTATCGTCATAGATGTTATCCGCAACAAGAAAACTCAGACAGAAATTCGAGGATGTAAGAGAGGAGTTTTATTCCACAGCGGTAATAATTAGCCAGCGCACCGACTGCCGGTGCAAAGATGCGTTTTTTGCATAGTTTTCCGCAGGTGGCACCGTTTTTTCCGGCAGATGCTTCTAGCTAAAAGAATTGAGACTGACTGCCAGAACTGTCAAAAAATCTCCACTTAAAATTTCAGCTTTCTGGCTTCTCTGGTTCCTGAGTTAGCAACTAACTCGCAAAAAATCTTCACTAGCCCGTACGTGTGAACCACGCCCACTTGGAAACTGGATTTGAATTCATCATTTTCTACGTGGACGGGAAACAACCTTAAAATTCCAACTTCCTAGCTTTTCTAGTTCCCGACTTAGTAACTTACCCGTAAAAAACTTTAACGGGCTCCTAAAAACCACGTGAGCAAGAGCGTCCATTTTGGGGATGGGGGGCCCGTACATGTATGTGAGTTAAGCTCCCAAGTTTCAGCATTGTAGCTTTTGTAGGTCTCGAGATGAAAAATCGGTACAAACGAACATACACACACACACACACACACAAACACACACAGACAGTCCCTCGACAGTATGCGTTTTTGCATTGCATAGATACAGAAAACGCACAGTAAAACGATAATCCAAGCATCGCCTTTACATCGCTCATTTTGGGAGAAACTATCGCTGGTTGTTGACTGTAGATGCCCAGAGCTGGATGGTTCTTATCGTTTAACGCGATTGCGCCTTTACAGTGCAGAGATATATGAAACATTTTGGTTATTTTCTCTCCTAATAGTAAAAAAATTATGTACGGAC